CCTTTCTAGCCCAGCAGAATCTCGCACCCCGCTTGAAAGGTTGGAGTTTGAGAGCTGCCCCCCGCGGACCAACCCGCACTCGGAGGGTGAGACGCCCTCGCTTGGGCGGGGCATCCCGCACGTTGCTGCTTCAGCGGGCGGCTTTGAGGCCCGCTCTCCTTTCGGTTCTGGTTCCCTCCTGGGTGGCAGCTCGTTTGGCCAGCGTGTTGCTGCAGCTTGTTATGGGGACAGCTCTGCGGCTCGCTTTCCCACTTCTGTTCCCACCTCACCGTCGTCCTGTAACGGCTCGAGGGGTAGGCTGAACAGTCGCGATTGCGACCGCCCTTCTCTTGCAGCGCAAGACCACAGGTGTCCACAGCATCCCTCGGAAGGCTAGGAAGCCTAAAGCGGCGAAGTCGAGGATAGTTTCGGCGAGGTCTAGGCCTTGCATCTTCGCAGGCCTGACCTGCTGTGCCGAGAATGTGGCCAGCAACGCGGTGGTTACCACCTTGGTCTTGATGGCTGCTTTGTGAACCGCTGTGGCTTCTGCGAGTGCCTCGTGGAGCAGTGCGCTCAGGGCCCCCGCCGGCCGGAACAGCAGAAAGCAGATGAAAGCAGGGCAGGAACAGAAACAATTTCCAAGCACGGATGGCCGCCAGGGACGCTGGTGCATCAGTTGCATCGGCTGTGGAGGCGTCGGACGAGCTTGAGGGACAGTTTCAGGGCTCGGCGGAGCTGAGGTTTACAAAAGGGGGGGCGGGCGGCGGAACAAACTGCAGGGCTGCAGGAGGACGTCCTCGGCATCGAAAGGGTCAAGACTAGCGAGGGCCTGGAGGATCAACCATCTGTGGAGCGACGGGTCTCAGGGCACCCGATCCAATCAGAGTCGGTGAACATCTTTTTTTCACGTTGGCGGCCCATGTCCCTGGCCGTGTAGTCCCGGACCATGGCTCGGCGTATCCGACGGCCGCCTGCATTCTTTTGGCCAGTTCCTTTACCGCATACAGCATGTGCGAAACCTCGCGGCGTTTCGCGCAGAGAGGTCCTCGCGACCTTGGTCAGCAGCGCGCTCGCTGCTGCCGGCTTTGCTTCCACGAGAACCTCCAGAGGAGCTGGCGTCCGGGAGCCGGGTTGCTTGCTCAACCCTTTCGAAAAGCAAGGCCTCGTCGTCGGGCCTTCGGCTACTTCGAAGAGCAGGGCTCTCCGAGCGGCTTTCGCCGCACGACCTCCTCTGCCGCATTGCAAAAGGAACCGGGACCATCATCGGCTCGCTGCGTTATGCTGCGTTCGCTGGGCGCTGCTCGGCCGAATCGCGGGTTCCACGGCAGACCGCATGCTTTTAGCATTGCTGCGTCTAGTGGCGACCCTCACGGGAAGACGCCGAACACGTCGGATGTTGATGGCGCCCGCCTCCGTGAGGAATATGTGGGCGTCGTCCTTTTCGAGCTTTCCAACCCACACTCACACCCCCTTTACCCATCTAGCCTGTGACTTGTTCTCAGTCGGGGGAGCAGCTTGACTAGCACTGACTTCCCGCAGCTACGCGCGCACTACCCCGCTTTAGACTGGGACGCCTCGTCCAACCGGATCCCGTGGCTCACAAGACGCGTCGCCTCGCTGCAGGCACGCTTTGGGACCAAGTCATTTGACGGGGTGACGCCCTACCGTGCAGCCAACGACTACATTAAAGGCAGCTGGTGCGCCCTCGAGAGCGAACGTCACACGCGGGCGCATCTCGAAGCTTTTTGCTGTTTTCGCTCCAAGCCTTGCCGGCGGTGCACCGCACAGGCCACAGTCGGGATGGTTTTCTCCTGATCGCTTTGCAGGACGATCTGGTCGAACCCCAGCCGGTCCAGGCCATATGGGCCATATGCGCAACGAAAACTGGAAGAGCCCAGCCTGTGGATCTATCTGCCACGTCGAACAATTTGGCCAAGGCAGTCAGGCGCTTCCTTGCCGGCACGAGTATTGAGCTGGTAGTCTATCGTCAAGGGAGGACCCGCGGCGTCTTTCGCGGGTGTCCGCCGCAAGTGCGGATATTCCCGCACCTTACCCTCCACAGATTTCTTGCTCAACGGTCGGCCATGCTGGCGAGTGAGGCCGTGTGCTGCGCGTCATGCACGGAGGGCATCGGCTGGGCGCTGCTGGGGCCACTCGACCTCGGCCTGGTCCTCACGAGTGTCGGGTCTTTCCCCACTCTCTCGTTGTTCTGCTTCGTCGGCCTTTTCCGTTAAGTCCGGCTGCACTGCTGCAGCATCTTCGGCTTTGCAGGACTCGCGGTCGTGGTCCGGCATGTCGTCGTAGTGGCCTTTTTTGCCTCAACGAAGCAGTCACAGCCATGACCTTCCGCCGAGATCTCAGTTCCTCTGTCTCTTTCGACCCAAGAAGCTGCCATGAATTTCCCTGAGCCGCTGCAGCCACGTTGCAATGCCGTATAGCTCGCAGGTGCACTGGGACCGCGCGTGGATCGCCCGAAAAGTCCGTGAAAAAAACAAAAAATTCCCTGTCGACAAAACAACCACTGCATGCAGCCCAGGCCTGCCAGATGTGCACATGCCAAGCAAGCATGCATACAAACAACGAAGTATTCAAGCATGCCCTCATGCAGCCCCATGTAACATGTACATATATGTATGTATATATATATATATGTCTATACACACATAGCTATAGCAAGAATGCACACACATGCCAAGCATGCACCGCAAAGAATATTTTCATGCATCCACGTGCAACACGTGCACCCACATGCAATACATAGGCATGCCCAGGCCAAGCAAACATGCATGCCAAGAAGCAAGCATTTCCGAGCATGCGTGTAAGCAACCACTTGCAGCACTTGCACCCATGCATGCTCATGCCTAGCAGCCGAGCATGCAATGCAACACATGCACCGACACGCAACACATGGATGCTCATGCATCGACACGCAAGAAGCTGCCAAGGGCATGCAACCAAGCAAGCATGCAAGCAAACAATGCTGAGACGTTGTCACACACGCTTCGCGCTGCCACTGCATGCGCGTTGCCGCTGCTGTCCCCACGAGCTGCCCCAGACGCGGCGCAACGTCGCCACGCAGTCTCCCACGCGTTGGTGCAGATGAAGCTCACGCCCGATTCTGCCCTCGAGATGTTTGCCGGGTCGGTGCGGGATGATGGCTCCCCTTCGCATCGGCACTGCGCTGGCTGGACGCGTGTCCACCGAGCTCCCCGCCAGCCCGCCAGGTGACCGCAACTCGTTGCCGTTTGTGCCACTGTTATACATGCCGCGACTGGGAACCTGAATGTGGCATCGTGGGCGGCGTGGCGTTCTTTGCCCAACGAAGGTGGGACACACAAGCGCCGTCGGTGGAGCCGGCCAGCCTTGACAGTGGCTTCCGAGGCGCAAGAGAACCGTGAGGCACAACACGAGCACACCCGTTAACCGTGCATTCCGGCAGCAGACGCGGCTTTCGCTACAAGTGCGTCGCTGCAGGCGCTGCCAGAGATGCTCCCCTACACTTCACAGCAGCGATGCTTCTGGCGATGGCCCCAGACGGCTATGTGTCCGTAGGCGCCCAATGCCACAATGCCAAGCGCGGCGGGGGCATGCAAACGACCTCCGCACTGCCCCGCCCTCGCCGCCAGCCTCGCCGCGCATCGACCCGTGCGCAGCCCGAGTCGTCGCTGCCACGAGCGCGCGCCATCGCGCGCCACAGCGCAGCGTTAGCAGGTCCCGGCGTCGGCGTGTGGGAACGGCTAGATACCGTCGACCTATAGCAGAAGAGCTTCGACACCCGCCACCGACATCGCAGGACTCTTCGCGTTTCATGCACGCCGCCGGGCGAAGCGCTTTCGCACAAGCACTCAGCGAGCTTTGCGCGGCCACCGCCTCTGGCCCCTCAGCCGGCCAGATCGGTGCAGCTCGAGCGGCGCGGGCCTGGAAATTATTGATGCAAGTGCCGCGCATATTGCTGACGCTGGCGGCAAAACAAGGCTCGCAAGGGCGAGCCGAATTGCTTTGCCGCGCTGTAGCATTCCCACGTGGAGAGCGGACCCAGGCCGTTGCGGTGCCAGGCCGTCCCAGCCGTTCCTCGGCCCCAGAGCACGGGCTGCCGGCGCTGCTGGTAGCTGCTAGCCTCGAAGGTAGTCAGCACATGTCGGGACGATCACCGTCTGCTTGGGCATGGCCCATCTCGAATGAAGCTGGCATCGCGAGGGCGGCGCCCCTCAAGGTGCGCCGCAGGCCGACGCGGGGTCAGCAAGCAAGGAACCGCGTTGCAGTTCCGGGGCATGGTCCCGGAGCACGTGGGAGCGTGGTGCTTCACAACCTCCTGGATTGTCACGACTATAGATCTCGGGAGAAGCTGATCTCGTCGGAAGGATTCAGCAAATTTACGCAAGCTACGTGTTGTAAGCTGACCAGGCCGTGTAAAATCGGTATCTGTATGCTGCTGTCAACACTTTGCTGCTGCTACAGTAACCAAAGAAAGATCGAATGGGTTCGATGCGCACACAACAGACCCTGGTGTGCTTCGTCTGTGACCGACGCTGTTACAGCCCCAGTTGGGTCCACAGCCGGCCCAGTGTGTCCACCGCAACTTCAACCCCAAGCCTTGTGACTGCGACCCGACCCGTCATTTGTTTTGAAGGCGAGAGGCGGCAGGCATGAAAGAGGGAATGGGAGCAATTGGCAGTGTGGCTCACTGGAGTGCGTAGCCGTTCCAGCTCCAGATTTGGAAATACATGACCCGGCTGATAAAGCTTCCAGATGTTCCGCTGCTGTATGGCATCTGGTCGACTGCGGGATGAAAGCTATCGCGGGAGGTGCCCGTCGATTGCGCTCTGGATTTCAATGGCAGTGGGGCATGCGTTTTCGAAGACTTGGCACGCAAGTGGTGGCTTGTTTGGCTGGCAAGAGTTTGTTCAGCTCCAGCCATGTTGTTAATGCAACTTTTGTTCATGCGTAATAACGAGGGATAGGTTTTGACAAACATCGAGGTTAACGTTGCGAGTTCGGATGACATCGCCACGTTTGCCGCAATGCAACCACATCCCAGGTACCACAGCCAGGTTGAATTTTTGTGCCTTGTCAATGTGGTAAGACAGATTTTGCTTATGCTGGTCACGTCAGGAGCGTCGAATATTTGACCACAACAGTGGACCCGCGCCAAATCGCAGAGTTTCTCCACCTCGAGATGCCCATTCGGTACGCTGAGCGCATACGTGCTTTGGAGCAGGTGCAGGGCTGAAGCATCGGCAGCATGGGTTCAACCTAGACATAAATGGCAGCACATGCAGCACGAAATTGGAAGTTTACCGGAAGGTGCCTCGGTGGCGAACGATACCGGACCTGGTCGATGTGCATGATATTCACGTGGAGTCTTTCAAGTCATTCCGTGTCTCTGAGTTAGACGATTTTTCTGAAGTCACACACCAGACGGGCAATTGTGCAGTTGTGCCGGGTTCTTGCAACGTCATCTTGTGTGGTCGTGCTTTCCTTCTGGCCGTGTTTCGAAGGGATCGCGGAGCAGATGCCCGCATTCAATTGGCAGGCGTTGCTGAGGGAGCAAACTACTGTGGAGAAACTTGCGAAGTCGGTACACCAACTCCGTGATGATGCCGGTGATGGCATTACCGATGATTCTGTGTCCCGCAATCTGCATCACAGGTTTGCCTGTGCAACAGAGTTTGGTTGCATTGGCAGATCTGGGTAATCAAACTGCTCTAAGGTCTCAGTTCTTGGACGATTTCTTGTTGAACCGCATCGGATGCCAAGTTTTGCTGGGACACTACTTGGCTTGTCGTGCAGGTCAGCGGATGCAACGGCAGCATTTAGGAAAATGCAAAAGTCCAATCAAGCCTGGGCTTGCAACAGGCATCACCGACATGCTTGCTCAAACTTCTGGCTCTGTTCCAGACGCAGTGGCAAGGAATGGAATTATCGACACTCGCTGTGATACCAGACGAGTATGCCGTGCAGCTGCGGAGGCAGGGCTATACGGAGGAGCATGGCGCATTCATTTCGTAGGCCGTGCCGTATTCTGTGCTGTTCCTGTCCTTTAACCTTTCACGCGCTGGCACGGCCATGTCCGTATGTTTTCATGGCCGAAGGCTGTGCTGGATATGTGCTGGGAATGCACGGGAAGAAGACCTTCCGTCTTTGTCAACGCACATTCGGCTTGCGGCGGCAAGGGCACGGATGATGGTCAAGTTCCACGCTTCCCTTACATGCCGCACGTCTTGAAGTATATTGTGAGCGAGCTGCTCAAGAACAGTTGTCGTGCAACGACGGACATGCTGAGCGCTCATGACTTACAATCAGATGACTTCCCCATCAACGTCATTATTTGCGCGGATGAAGACCACGTGACGATTTGCGTGACTGATCAAGCCGGTGGTATTCCGCGGGAGGCGAACCCGTGGTCATACTTGTACACTACAGCGGAGGATGGCGCCTATGGTGGCACAAAGAAGCTTGCTGGTCATGGAGTAGGCACAATGGGGACGCTATCGCGTGTTTTCACGTTTTCATAGGATCCGCGCACAAGAGAGAATGCACGGCAGCCCTGGGCAAGATTTTTGCAGGTCTTCCCTTGTCGCGATTGTACGCAAGATACCTCCATGGCTCGCTTGACTTGGTGTCCCTGCCTGGATACGGGACGCACGCATATGTCAACTTGCCTAGAGTTGAATCACAACAAGTAGAAGTTGTGCCAGTCCCTTGGAGAAATAAGATGCCAAGCGCATCAAGTGTGTCATAGTGTGTCAATCAATGTGTGGGCGATAGGTTTGCTTGGAGGGGCTTGGTGGTGAGCAGTCAGGATGCGGACTACAAGTACGACTATGCGAATCTGCTGGACTTTACTGTGTGATCGACATGCGCGCGAAAAATCAGCAGGTTTGTTCAGTTCACAACCAGTCCCCTTCTACACAGCTTCAGCTAGCTTTCATCCGGTACTTAAATTTAGTATAGTAATTTCATTGCATACCAGCGCGCCTGACGTTGCCGTCGTGCTTAATGTGCTTGGCCACTTGCCTTTTGCAGCCTTGAGTTGCGGCCCGCGAAGAGTTTGGTCTTGCGTTTGCAATGTCCTGCAGCGTGGAATGGCGGTCCGTCCACTGCTGCTGATTGCCCCTGCCTCTGCACTGGCAGTAGCGGGTGGACCTTCGCACAGACCTTTCTGCCCACCATACAAATTCAGCGTGACCTGCCTGCATGAGTGACTCTTCGGCGAGCTTGATTTTGGCTTGAATTGTTCGATGGAAGGGACGGCGACTACAGTTGCGCATTTCCGACGAGCCCAGGATGAGACATTGGACATACCCATCCAGTCATCGCACGATGCTAGTCACTGCTCCCTCGAAGCATCCCGCAAACGTTACGGAACTCTGCTGCAGGACTGTTCGAAGGGGCCGAATCTTTATCAAAGTAATTGTGTGAAAGTCCTGAACTTATTTCGCTTTGTTCGAGCTGTTCGAACAGTTCCAGGGAGTATGGCGGCTGCAAGGGGTGCCAGATATTGTCATCAGTCAGAAAGACATGTTTTCGATGGTGTTGCGGTCACCTGCTAGGAGACGGCCTATCAAAGCAAGACGATGTGGCGGGCAGCTACACGATACTATGCACCCGAGCGGTGGGAGGCTTGGGGCACACTTTACGAGACAATGTCTCACTTGGAAGCTGAGCTGCATGGCATTTGAGGACACTTGAGCAGCTGAGACAGGCAAGTCAGAGGGAGGGTACTGTGTCTGTCGAGAAAAGACGCTGAGATGATGAGGATCTCTGCATGCCGGCTAGTGCGCCCAATTTTTGCCAGCCGCCCCAACCCGGTGCAACTCACTCGCCGAAAGCAGAATCAGACCAAGGAATGCTTTGCAGCTTTCAGGTCTTGCTTTCCTGGTGGCATCCAAGAGGAAGCCCTGACTGTCGTACCCGTGTGCTGGGCCTTTCAGGAGGCCTTGACATGACATCAACTCGATTGTTCTAGGCTGCGCTCTAGCCTAGTGCTTGATCGCCGCAGGAGGTCAAGAAGGTGTTTCGATTGGATGTTCCCTGCTTGCCTGTGCACGACTGATCATGGGCAGCGGGCCACGCTGGACTTTGTTTATGCATTAGTGCGGTGAACTGAGGCACACATGACCCAGGCGGCTGCACAGCTTGGAATGCAGATCCTTTCAAGCGAAGATGACCTTCGTCGACTGCGGCACCCTTGCCCTGCATCTGCAATTTTCGGGCAGCTCGTTCAATGGTGACAGTTACTTGGGCTCAGTAAGGCTACGACACTGCGCACGTGACTACTTTCGAGTCGCACGACATTTTGCGTCGTCAGGCGGCTGGTTATATGGGGTGCTTCTGACAACTGACTTCCATTGTGGATTGCGTGCCCCCCGGGCAGGCCATCTATCCAGCGTCAAACCTGTTCGGCGACCATGCTGGTGGCGCTGCAGCCGGCTTGGTGCCGTTCTGGATTCCCCGGCGTGAGTCTCAGTCTGTTGAGAAGGAGTTGAATGGACGCGGGAGGTGGAGTCCCAAGATGCCCGTGTGCCTCTGGCGAAATCCTCATTAGGTGGACAGCTCCAGTCTCTCACACCTTCGATGTGTGCAACCGCACTGACTTGTTAAAGTGGCATCTCGGCAGCATCATAATTCGCCAGCATGCACAGCCGTCTTAATCCTGCCACCTTGAACGCATGAACTCGAGTGTGCGGAGTGTGATAAGACGAGGCCCGGCCTGCGTTGCACAGGCAGTTTCATTGGACCCCTTCCTCGCACGCCTCGCCTTAACACCAAAGCATATCTTCGGCACGTTATGCATGAAAAAGAAAACAGCAAGCGCCAGAACCACATGCCGGTACTGTGCAAAGTGCGATCCATCTTGTCCTTCCATCTTCGTCAGTTTTTGTAGTGGCACATTCTTGTAAGTCTCGGGGATGTACCATGCATGGGTCACCAGAATCGAGGTATGACTCCTTTGAGAGGCCGCGGCTCCCCAGCCAGTTGCCAGCCGAAGCTTGGCAGATCTATGGTTTCATTGCGGTTTCATCGCGCAACCTGAGCTGAGGAGTGGCAGCGCTGGGTCGTGAACCTGGGTGCCGGGGATGGCTCTTGTGGCCAGGATGTCGTTCGACAGGATAATCTCGCACGGGGACTCTTCGGCATGTCGGACCCGACGAACTGCTTGCTTCGAGAAGGTGGCTTCAGCTCAAACATTCGAAGGGCCCATCAGTTGAGTGTTTGTGGCGACACGTCGCGGCCCAAAGCCGGAACTTCGAGCACTGGCGCTGTGGGATGTGAGAAGCTGCCTGTTGTTGCTGTTGGGCGTCCTGATACGCCTAATTACGCCTATTAACCAAGGATTTGGAGGCTTGGTGTTCGAGGGTGACAACAGGCGCCTCCACGACCTCCAAAGCCTCGTGGACAATCGCACAGATGCCAGGCTTAAGGCTTAAGTACACGGCTGGAGGTTACAGGCTTCAGTACGGCATAGATCAAATCGAATAGGTGGTGTTGGTTGTAGTTGCCTAGGCATCCGCCTCGACGAGATCATTGTTGATTAGCCATACATCACATATGACCTATCTGAGGATGTGGAACTTCATTTTGGTTTCGTGGATCCTGGTATTGCAACGCAGCGCATCCTGGAGTATCAAGCACACTATGGCCCATCATCTCCACAGTGGCTCAAGGCTGCCGTCTGTGTCAAGTGTGGCCGGGCCAAGCAACGACCGCCTTGACAAGGTTGACGTGGACAACTGCGACTGCTGCTTTGTGGAAGATGTTCTGAAAGCTGGAATCCGACCTCTTCTCATTCATGTGGAAGTGCACCCGCTGGTTCCTCCGCCCTTTGTGTACAGGCCCGTTGCAGCTTGAGTGTTTGAAGTGGCTTTGCAACGCTTTCTCAGCTGGAGGCCGGTCTTTTTCGATCCCAGCATTGGGGACTCGATGCTCTCGTTGAGTGCTTGGGCATGACATGTGGCTGCTGCTACCCCTGCTACCCTCGTTTGAACCTTGGCCATGTGCTGCAGCAAGTCTGGAAGACTTAGGTGTCTTGGAGGGGCGTCCTGGACACATGCTTCACTGTTCACTTTCTGCCTTCGAAGAGTTACTTGATGATTATGGGTATCATCTCGCAGCTTTGCTTCAACAGACCTTGAATCTTTCGCTCTGCCTATCTTCCATGCTACGGCTTGTTGGTTCTTCGTCACCTGCCCAGAAAGCGCGACTTCTTTCTCTGGTATTGCCTGCGAGCTTTGGGGCCTGAGTACATGCGAGAAACAAACAAGCAAGCGACCAAGCAAGCGACCGACCAACCGACTGCCCGACCGACCAACCGACCAACCAACAAACCGACCCACCAACCAACAAACCAACCGAAAAACCCAAGCAAGCAAGCACGCACGCGCGCACGCACGCACGCGTGCACGCACGCGTGCACGCACGCGTGCACGCGTGCAACCACGCAAGCGAGCAAGCAACCAAGCAAGCAAGCCACCAAGCAACCAAGCAACCAAGCAACCGACCGACCAACCGACCAAGCGACCAAGCAAGCAACCAAGCAACCAAGCAACCAAGCAACCAAGCAACCAATCAAGCAAGCAAGCAAGCAACCAACCAAGCAACCAAGCAACCAAGCAACCAATCAAGCAAGCAAGCAAGCAACCAAGCAACCAAGCAACCAAGCAACCGAGGAACCGAGGAACCAAGGAACCAAGCGAGCAAGCAAACAAGCGAACAAGCGAGCAAGCGAGCAAGCCTGCAAGCGAGCGAGCGAGCAAGCGAGCAAGCAAGCAACCAAGCAAGTAACCAAGCAACCAAGCAACCAAGCAAGCAAGCAGGCAAGCAACCAAGCAACCAAGCAACCAAGCAAGCAAGCAACCAATCAAGCAAGCAAGCACGCAGGCAAGCAAGCAAGCAAGCAAGCAAGCAAGCAACCAAACAACCAAACAAGCAAGCAAGCAAGCAAGCAACCAAGCAAGCAACCAAGCCAGCAACCAAGCCAGCAACCAAGTACGGCACCATGGCACCACAGCACCAAACAACCAAGCAACCGAGCAAGCAAGCAAGCAAGCAAACAAACAAACAATCAAACAATCAAACAATCAAACAATCAAGCAAGCAAGCAAGCAAGCACACAAGCACACAAGCACAC